TATAAATCAAATCCATATTCAACCCAGTCGTAGAGGAAATGACCACGCTCTTCATCCATCTGTATATCCAATCATCCACCCGGAAACAGAGAGGCTTCCTGTCACTGAGCTCCGGGTCAAGATGGTCCAGATCGGAGCAGAAGATGCTTATCAGGCACTCGCGTCTCCTCTGGGACTCCAGCACCAATAGGAATCTGTGGAAGGAGGAAAATATGATGTGATGACTCGAGCTGCCTCTGTGAAGATCAGTTATATGTTCATGTTCGTTTTAGGGTGTGCTCTGTTGATAGGATGAGTTTTTCATAATCCTAAATAGTCCATGTTCAGTGTGCATTTAAGGGTCAGTGTGTAGCATTTAGGGGATCTATTGCCCAAAAAGGAATATCATTTTCATACTGTTTTCATTTGTGTATAATCACCTGTAAGAATTGTGTTAGCTTCTACGTAGTGAGCAGGTCCTCTTCACAAACTCTGCCATGTTGCACCGCCATGTTTCTACAGAAGCCCAGAACGGACAAAAACCAAACTCTGGCTCTAGAGAGAGACGTTTGCGTCTTTTAAGTCACCTGTTCTCTTTAATCCGTCTCTCAAAACTTTCCAATTTCCCCACTTTACCTTATTCAAAACAAGCCAAAAACAGATAATGTTGCTCAAAGCGGAGTAAAGTGTTTTGTTGGGGACTATTTGCAGCTGTGAATGAATACAAATGTGGTGCTCTCGTAAACATGTATATGATGTTTGTCAATTGAAAAGATAATTTCACAGGTCAAGACTTTCTCAGTTTGTCGTAGTGTCATTTAGTTTTGTGTGAAAACACTCAATGAACTTCTTTTAAATTGACAAACATCACATGTTTAATTCATCGCACAATTCAAACAGAATATAAAAGAAATCTGTTTCATTATTTCATTATACAAGAGGATCGATTCTGTTTTCACTCTTGGTCTTTGGTCTAACTTTGATCTTTTTCACTTGACTACATGGGATTTCTGTGAGGTTTGTTGCACTGATTGAACTCTGTTTAATAGTCTTTAGCACTAAGTCACCAACTCACTAAAGAGTGTGTTGATCACAGCTGAAGGTGTTGAAGTTAAAAGGCTTCAGCTGTCAGCAGCGACACGTTTGGGTCTCTGTGCTCCACTGAAGTGGTTCAGGCTCACTTGGCTTTGTGTCTAAAGGACTCTGCTTTGTTAACGAGTTCTTTTTCAAGTGGTCCAACACCAAATGCCAGAGCATCAGCGCCCGGAGAGCTGTCTGCTTTCTGTTGGCTCGTCACAGAGGGACACTAGAGAGGACTTAGGTGTGAAACTTTACTCTGCACAGTAGGGCGGAGACAAATCAGCGTTTAGCACAATCGACATAAAGCCGACAATAAGAGCCTCTCTGATGCTATACTGGTAGATTCAAGCTGTGCTTTTGAGCATCTTGTGTTGAGGAGTGTGTCAGAAGGAGCTCCTCGTATGAATGGAGATCTCTACAAAGTAGTGAAGTAGAATCAGACAAAACAAACTCAAATCAAGAGTCAAAATGTTACGAGCAGCAGAGACGACCTGCCTATATCTCCAATGACTCATTGATCATGTTTGGAGTTTAATGTCGCGCTTTAGTTTGCATTCGGCATTCTGAATGGAGAAGTGACAGAATCTGGAAACAGACACTCTCTACTGCAGCTCCACGTTGTGTTTTTAGAGCTGAGAGGAATCTATTGGCAATGATTCCCCAGGTGTAGCATTATAGTTATTATAGTGCCTAAGGGATGAAATAGCTTCTTTTTATGGTGATATTATGAATATCTTCCTCCGGTAATTAATCCATTAAAGCAGCGTAAATGTGGAAAAATAATAATAATCATCATTTGGCAACAATAGGATGCAAATGATCATTTCTTTGTTTTTTGGGGGAAGGAGGTGTCTGAAGCACACAGAGCTCCACTTGACCTTCGCCGCCCTCCCTCACTGTCCTTCTATAATACACCCCCCCCCCCCCCCTGTGTGGTGTATGAAAAGAGGCCTCTGCCGACATGTGGGCGGACAGACAAAGCATCACTTAGCACCGGGTCATTTGTCACATCAAAGCATTCTTTGACGCATCGGAGAGAGGGAGGCTCCCTGTAATCTGGGAGAGTAAAATGTAACCCCTCCCCCCTGCTGTCAAATCGGCTCTGACCCCCCCCCAAAACCCCCGAAATCTTCTCAGTTAACAAACTGAAAACTGAGCTGAAATACTGCTTTTTGTTGTGACAGTTTGATCCCCAAAACACCCAATATATCATTTATCTTTGCAAAACTGTGTTAGGGCTGCAAATATTTGTACTTTTGTAAAGATTGTAGATATTATGATCAGAAATATTTGTTTTTGGTCAACAAATGTAACTTTGAAATCCTATTGTTTCATGAAAAGCAGCATTTTTGTTGTCAAAGTAGATGTTATTTGACAACAAATCCTCCATCTCTCTTGCAGCTTAGAACCCTGAGCAACATGTAAATGGATATAATATCAATTTCCTGTTATCACATCCATATCTTTTTAAATGAATCTGCCTCATATTGTCTTTCCTTCAGTGCAGCTTCCACTGTATTCACAAGCCATGTGGTTACAGGGAAGGGTGTGTGTGTGTGTGTGCGTGTGTGTGGAGGAGGGTGTATTGATTTCCGATGGATGTTTGGGTGTTTTATTTCCTCTCAACATGTGAAAAGGACAAGGTTAACACTCACTTACTAATGTGACAGGACCAGGAAGTGGAGGTCTCATCCTCATTAGCACTAAACTGAGGGGCTGAGCTTTAATGTCATGTTTTCCTCCCGAAAACTCTGTATTTATTTTGTAAGAATATCTAATGATAAATGTCAGATATTTATTGTTACAAGTCTTTAGGACAGCAGCAATTAATCCAGGAAAAAAAACAAAAAACAGAGCCAGTGATTATTTTTTATATCTACTCTCACAGTGAGGGATTAAATGTCTTTGAAGGATTTGGGATTTGACCAGTGTGTGATAGAAACAGCCCAGAAGTGCCTCGTGAATCAGTAAACAATCTGTAAAATGGCACAAGCATCCCACCAATGGCTGAGGCCGGGGGGGCGTTCCTTTTAGCCGTCAATCATCCAGGCGAAATGATGGAGAGGCGAAGCTGCATAAAGTTAGACATGTACACGTGGAACAAGACCGGAAGTTTATGGATTAGCCTTCAAAATAAAAACTAATTTACCGAAAGAGTAAGGGCTCACGCTTGTGTTTCAAATATGTTGTTTTAAATGCAAACAACCGTAATTAGATTAACTCTATATTTATTATAAAATATCACATATATGTCAGTGGCGGCTGGTCAATAGAGGGCGCTAGGGCGCCGCCCCACTTTGATCCACAAAAAATAAAATAAATAACAATAATAAACTACACAAATTGTCAATATTTGTGTTTTTGAAATAAGAATCACCCAGTAATATGTGTAAAATATGATATCTGCGGTAGATATATGCTTTTCCTGCACGTCCTCTCCGCGTGTGCATGTCTCAGCAGCTCTGGGGCGCTGGAGAAACTGCCCCAAAGAGGCGGGGCTATGAAGCAGTTTAGCCAATTGCTGGTTAAAGATATAAATATGTGACATACAATTTAGCCAATCAGCGTCCTCAAATACATTCAGCTTTGGGCAGAATCGATTCTGCCCCCAAAAATGAGAGAAAAATCTCATCAGTCCGATCGGCTGCAGCGTCCAATCACATGACTGATGAACAGTGAGGGGGCGTGTCGGCCGTTAAAACACTTCCTGGAAGTCTGTTCTCGTGGGTCCTCGCTCATGGCTCCTCAGAGATCCCTCCTCCCTCCTCCATCCTCCTCCTCAGAGCAGAAATAAGAGCTTTGGGACGACCGTCAATATGGCGGCGCAGAACAACTTCCGGTTCGAGCGAGGATCGATGAGCGAGGAAATGATCCTCGCTTGAACCGGAAGTTGTTGAGGAAATGAGGAAATTACAAATAAGATCTTGGGTACTTCTCAAGTCTCTTATTTGTCATTTCCTCGATTCCGGTTGAACCGGTTTCAACCGGTTTCAAGTGATGAGTTGAACCGGAAGTTGGAAATGACGTATTATGGAGGACGTCTTTAGCAGGACGTCTGATAAAGGACGTCTGATGCTGATGTATGACGTCTTATGGAGGACGTCTGATTTACCCCAAGACCCGTTTGAGAGGAGAACTTTGAGGAGAGACTTCAGGCCAAAGAGCTGATATCAGATCAGCCTGACCTCACAATCAGACAGCAGAAAAGTGCTGGATGACGTCATGTTATAACTTATTTAGCTTTTTAAAACAACGGGGACAGATCCAGCATGGACAGTTAGGGAGTGAGAGACATGAAGCACCTGTCTGAGAAATGGATATATAGTTATAAATAAATAATTATATATATGTGTGTGTGTGTGTGTTTTATATTATAGTGAATATTATTATATGATATATATATATTATTGTATGATATACATTATTATATTATTATATGATATATATATATTATTATATTATACTGAATTCTCTGTGAGGGTAACAAAAATAAGATGTCCTGATGTGTTTGTCCAAGTGTTATTTACTGCTTTTTTCATGTTAGAATGAAGGTTAAATATTTAACTGCAAAGTAGTAATACGTGTTTGATACCTTAATTATTTTGCATTAAATCATACTGGGATGTTTGCTGAAATTGATTGGATGTGGCACAGCCCTACAGAGAACATGTTCCACCAGCCGCCACTGATATATGTAAATACATGTTGCTATTAGGTGCTACGTAATGATTTTATATTGAAAAGCCCGAACGGAAATTATTTTTTAATGTTTGCTAACTTTACGCTACCCAGAGGAACAGAGCGGACAAACTACCAGTTAACAGTTGGGACTACTTTGCTGTGGGAATACCTGCCGTTTTGTTAACTTCGTTTGTTTTTGGAGGGGGACAAGCTCAATTATATATACAATATATATATATATATATATATATATATATATATATATCGATTATGTCTTAGTCCTGAGACCCGGAGCTCGCGCTTGAATTACCTGAGGAGCAAAATAATGTGTCATCTGGCGAGCAACGGTTTCCGCTCGTGCGGTGTTGTTGTGATGGCAACACCGCCGTCGTCCGCTAGCAGGCTAAGCTAAGCTAGCTGTAATGGCTGGTGTCTGGTACCGCTGCAGAGAATTTGCGATAATTAGCATATAATAAACACTTTTTTGTTGTAGACAGTTAGCCTATAATGCCACTTAACGGATAATGTTTTTTCTTGATATCCCAGTGAGGTGAGTGTCACACATTTAACCTAGTTTAAACACGTTAAAACGCGTTAGCACAGCTAGCTGAATCACTCTGATTATAGCGGAGCGCAGCGGCGCCGTCTATTTCCTGGATTCAGAGACATTCCAACCAGATTATAACATGTTTACAATTTATTTTATTCGAGTCTTGGGTGGTGAGTCTCGGTTGCAGTTTTGTTGTAGAATGAGGTGGTGAGTTATATTTGTAATGTAATGTCATAGCTTAGCTGACAATGTTTCAATGCACACATTCATATTTTTATTATTATTATAAAACATCACAAGTTAGCTTTTATAACCACGCCAGGAAATAGCCATCGCCACCCCGGCACGCCGTGCTGGCAGGATAATTTATTTTGGAATTCCCGGACATTTACGTTCCTGCTGTTTCTCTTGCTGACTGTGGCTTCTTTCTTCTTTTATTCTGTAGGAGGATCATCACCAGATGGAAATATTATATTAAGACCGAGTGGATTAACTCATCGTGCCTTTCAGTAATATAAAATATGGAGTAAAATTTATTTTACAACATCATGAGCGCCGTCAAATCTCCAAAAAACCTCCACTGCTGCAGAGATTCCGTGTCCTTTACATTTGGATTTATGTGCAGCAGCCACTGACTGAATGTGCATTCTTATTTATTCATTAGTTATGTGTCAGCACGTGTTGGATATGCTCTGATTCCTATAAACACTACTATAGCGTAAATTCGTATAAAGGAAGCCCCCCCCCAAAAAAGAAGGAAGAAACATGGCCTCTGTGTGGAAGAGACTGCAACGTGTTGGGAAGCATGCGTCCAAGTTCCAGTTCGTGGCTTCCTATCAGGAACTGATGGTGGAATGTACGAAAAAATGGTGAGTTTTGTCGGCCACAGAGGTGTCATTTAAAGCCCCCATGAAACACTGTGTGTGTGTGTGTGTGTGTGTGTGTGTGTGTGTGTGTGTGTGCTGGAATGCTGAGCACACACACACACATTCAGGCATGTCTGCATGCTGGGAGGGGCCCGGCTTCCTTGTAAAATTGCTATGTTTTTTCTCTCTTCTTGTGCCGCTGATGTAGAATTTGTATGGTTTGAGTCACGAAAAAGAGGGTTGCAGGAAGAAAGATTTCCCTTTCCTTCTAACCCGAAAAGGGTTGGGTTTAAAGCTGCCCCCGCTCTCCTGAAATATGTCCTTGAGCAAACCACTAAACACTAAACACCTACCAGCTCCAGGGATGCTGTTGGGAATCCAATCTTGACTTCTGATCCCACTGGAAGTAGAGGATCTATGAGAAAATTATTCTTGGGTGCTATTGTATCAGCAAACAGATAATGTGTAGTCGTTCATAGCGTGTCTGTTGAGAATATGACCTGCTGACTATTTCCTCCACACATGTTGTATCTTTTCTATTTGCAAAAGAAGAAGAACTGGTTTATTGCCATGTCGGAAGTAATTTTCCTCAGTGATTTGGTGTGTAACGAAAAACAAGTGTGGCAAAAGTCAAGAATCATAAATGGCGGTGTTTCCGAAAGGATTTTGTGAGACTTGGGTGGACCTTGCCTGGACCTTTTTAAGGGGGTCTGGAGGCATGCATTTTAAATATAATATACATCAATCCGGTGCACTTTGAGAGCTTCATTGAGAGGTTACGGATATGAAGAACCTTGTTACATTTAGAAACAATGACGTAATCTACACGGACTGTGTAGCATCCTGTATAGAAGTACAACTCGGAGACACTTCTGTTGTAAAGAATGCATGATATGTGGATGTATGCCACACTGGAGCCTGCAGGTATGTGTGTGTCCTGTAACGAGTGAACAGCACAGACTTGTAAAGAGAAGACGTAGCCTGCAGACATGGATTCTCCAGCTTCTTGCCGTAGGCGTGACTAAGACCTGGGACAGATGTTAACGTGTCGGAGAATGGAATGAGAAAAATGTACATCAGAGCAAAAAAGGGTGGGTGGGCTCAACACATCGTCAGCAAAACGCTTTGTTTTTATAATCTGAGCTCATCTCTTTTATGTCGTTTAAAGGAAGAAATATGTATTTGTTGTTGTTGCAGCCCTTGAAGATGGATTGATTAGGGCTCAGTTTTTCTTCTTCAAGTAAAAACTCTGCTCATTTCAGTTGCCACTAGACAGCGTGTGATGCTACCACTCTTCTTAAATGTCAGCTTTACAGCATAAAACTGTGATACGAGAAGTGTCTAACTTCAGCTGATAGTGCAGCCTAAAGGGTCTCTGCTCTTCTTCTTCGTTGGTGTGTATGTGTGCACGTCTGGCTTGTAGAGTGTGTTCTGGCGCACGCTTTCTTGCCTTCCTCGGACTTCATCAGTACGGTATGTTATTGTTTCAGTGGAAACTTTCCATCTACGCAGACTGGAAACAGTCCCCAGAGCTCAAATGGATCTCAAATCCTGAAGCCTTCAGATGTGATTTAAAAAAAAAAAAAAAAAACTTACAGCCCTTCAGTTACTGTATGTGTGCCCATACATAAGGATGTGGGTGCTTTAAATGTACACTGTGTAAAATGTACACTTGGCTGACACTTAAAAGGCTCAGTAGAATAATCTCTAAAGTCTAGATAAGTTGGGTTCACTTCAAACAATCAATAGGTAGAAGTTCAAGGGTCCGTTTTGCTGTGTGTGTTCTTAAGGCCGGGGTGTACTCGATCAGAAGTAGTTCATACGACCACGTCTGAAATCAAACAGCCACACTTGAAGGTGGAGTGAAAAGTGTGTCATTTAAATATGGGGTTAAAGGTGCACTTTTTCAGAAAGTCTCCCTGAGGTTAGGTGTGATAAGTCACTTGACTCCTCTTAATAATCCATTCCATAATAAATGTCTTGGTGCTTGAATCATCCTAAATTGTCTCTGGTAGTGTTGCCTCTCTCTGTCTTTCTCTAGACAGAACGTGACTCCAGATGTGACCTGTTTAAAGTAGTAAAGATGAGTTGTAGAGCATTGACCTACCAGCTTACATGATGCATAATAACTGATTTGGTTCTTTTAAAGGGGAGGCAGAAGGTAGGAGCATCTGAGAATATCACCTTTAGATGGAAGATAATGGAAATGTAAGGGCCCTGGATCCTTGTTAAGCTCCTGTTGCTGACTGTTGCTCAAAGCTTCTTGCAATATTGCTGTTAACGTTTGCACTAGTCGGCCCTTATCAGTGGCTAAAAGAGGCTGTCTATGAGAGAGTTTTCTGGCTACTAGCAAATCAATCGGCTTGTTTTTCCCCACGTCTTCTTTTTCTACAAGCTTAAGATCTTTGTTATTTTCATCCTTGAGATGGAAGGAAAGTGGTGACAGACCAGGAGCCTTGGATTGTGGGTGTCCTATCCTATATATATATATGTGTTTTTGTAAAGTCATTCTTGGTCTTTATCTGTTGCCCTAGTTGCTGTAGTTAGCATTCCTCTCACACACCCAATTTCCAGACTCCAGAATCAATTCAGACCGACCACTAAAACATTAATGAGTCTCAGTGTTTGTGTGTTGCCAGTGAAATGAAGCACCATTAACGGTGTTTCAGCACTGCCTCCTTTTTGAAACCTGATCCATCAAACCGTGTTTTCTGTTGCCTTCCATCAACAGCAGATACTTATGAGTATAGTAGTCAGGGTGAGAAATCAAACCTCCTTTAATATGTTGACCTCTATAGAAATGGATAAACTCAGGGATGTTTATGGCTGAAATACATCAAATCTGTTGACGTAAGTGAAGTTGACGGATCCCATTACATCCACCATCTCACCGTTACACACAAGCATGTTTCTGTACCCTATTTCACTGTTGTGATTGTACAATCCATGTTTAATTGACTTTCTGTTATACGCCTCGTTTAGATGTACATGCTTGCATCACTTATTTCTCTAATATTTTCTAATCTGTAGTTCTTTTCATCTCTGTTTGACTGACTCCATACGTGTCATTAATGGAGCTATCAGTATATAATCAGACATTTAACAATCAATCATTGAGAGGATGATGAACCGGAAAGTTCAATATCAGATTACAATAGATGATTGAAAAGACAGGTTACAATATGAATCCGTGGTAACAGAGTATTTATGTACTACTGCTGTTATAGGCTTTGCTTTTAGCGGTCATAGGTCATAGATCTCTTTGTTTATCTTGTCTGATGGCGACACAAAGAGATAGCTGAGCAAATATCCTGCTTGTCTTCATGTATATTAAGTCTGTTTCATCATCAACATGGGCTAAAAAACAAATATTATTTTTCCACGCGTACATCTGTCCAGGCTCAGAAAGAAAGAAACTAATATCATTTTTAATTAAGGCTTGAACAAATATATGTACACTGGTGTGATGGAGCACAACCTGCCTGCTTTAATGGTTTAACATCTAACTGCTGCTGCTGTTAAGCAGTTGTCTACAAAATGCTCTCTCTCATCTTTTATAACCAGAACCATATCTGTCTTTTAGCGTCGTCTTTGCTGTGTATTGTTGTGTGGAAAAGTCTGTGGGTTGTGTGTGCGTGCTGCTTGCACATAAAGGAAAGAGCTCCACAAATTGTTGTTGTTCTTGTTTGTCTCGCAGGTTTGTTTGTTTTCTGATAACGTAGCTCGTCAATGTCAAGCGTCCAAGTCGGTATTGTCGGGTCAGTGCTCTTTCTAGCTCTTGAATGTGTTTTTTGATTAGATTATTAATTGTGGACGAATGCAGCGTACAGTTCAGTCTTGTTCTTGTGGCCAATGAATGTCAAAACTCAAACTCCTGGCCTGAAAATGACTGGCTGCGTTTGTTAAGTGCGGAGCAATGTTCATTAGTCAGACGGACAAGTTTACAACCAGCGAGTTGCTGGTTTCAAACCCTTCAGATTGTCAGATCATACCCTCAGAAAAGGATTGTATCCTGTGTGAAACCTTCTCCTTTCTCTGCTGGTTTCTGCTATGTTATGTTTTAGACTGGGCTGCATCACGCTGACTAGAAATATAAGCATGTAACCAGAGAGTTGTTGGTTCAAACCCCTCAGATTCATAGCAATACTACCATCATGAAGGGTGCAACCCCCACAGCGAAAGGCAACTCGGTGTGAACTTAAGCATGAATTCTTTTAGTATTTCCCCCCCACGAGGCTGCTGCTTTTGAGCAAAAATGCGTTGCTCATCAACCTGTCTGGCAAAAAGACAAAGTTTGAAAAAAGCCAACAAGTGTCGCTGCCGCCGACAAACGTGTCGACACGTACGGCGAGGATACGAGAGTAATATGCTGGAAACGACACAGAGCCGCTATTGATTACATGGTGATTCTGTCGGGCTGTATGCGAGCGTGGCTAATCAAGACTCACTCAATGCTCCATGACAAGACAAGGATGGAGGATGCCTTCATATCAATCAAGGGCTACAGAAAACCCTGTATTTAGAAGCTCTGAACACACTCACTCACAGATTAACACTTCTCTACAAGGTGTTTTTGGAAAGCAACCATTTTGCTGGGCTCCAAATACAAATATATCCATCTCCCGAGAAGGAAGAGACGATTTATGAGCTGTCTGATTATTATATACTAAAAGTTAATCGCGTTTTAGTGTCCAGTGATGAGTTTAAAATATTGAGCAGCAGCTGATTAGCTCTCCTTCTTCGGAGGTAAACCATTAAATTACTATTATATTAGATTATAGAACATATAATAACCCTATTATTATATTTACATCATCCCATCACATAATCTCAACGAGCTCACTCGTTGTCACTGAACGAAAAGTGTCTTTAAAAGTAAAAAGAGTCCAGGCCGTCAGTTGAGTAATGTTTGAGTATTTCAGTGGAAGTCACCGGCTGTGACATGTTTACTTTCTGTTTAACATGTGTGCCTCATGGCAGGCGTCCATCACGTCTCTGCCAGA